CCCACCTGCCTCACAGGGTGTCTGTTGTGGGGAGGGGAAGGGAAAGGAGTTCGTAAGCCACTCAAGACTCTGAGTGAAGGGCGGGGTATAAATCCAATCTCCTCCTCCTCCTCCTCTTCTTCTTCTTCTATTTTGTTTACTGGTATTTTAGGCAGCAGAATAAATAATTTTTTGTACTTTTCGGAACCGTCCCCTTAACAACTCTCCGGCTACATTTTCTCCCAGGATTACAAATGTTCCAAACATTTAAAAATAACAAATTATCTTGATTTATCATCCCCCCCCCCCATATTACAAACCTTAAAAATAATATTTTGTTGGGGGGGGTTAACAAAAAAGGGAATAGTATATTTGGTTTTATCAACCCCAAAAACATACGGTTTGACTCCAATATCAGCATCCTACAGGAATGTGGGGAAAAGACCCTCCATCTTGCCGAATGGCAACTACAGGGGAAATGGCTGTCTCTACAACTAATATAATAGTGCATCTGGCTGTATTGACCTAAAAAAAACCATATATTTTGGCACAGTATGAGAATCCAATGTTAATTTAGAGGTCTGCCAACCAACATCTTTTGGTAGTCCCTGGCCCCAGGGACATCCGACTTGCCTCGACCAGGGACAGGGGTTTCTTGGCCATGGCCCCTGCCTGGTGAAATGAGCTCCTGTGTGAGATCAGGTGTGGCAGGTGTTATGTAGTGGGTAGCCGCATTGACATGGCGGCCGTCATCTCCGGGCTCTGCATCTGCTGCGAGAGGCTGGTCACCTGGTCCTTGATCTGCTCCTGCTGCCCGGCCCGGGCGTTCTGGGAGGCCAGCAGCGCGTTCTGCATGAGGGAGAACATCATGCGCTTGGTGTAGGCGTTGCAGAGGTTCACGATCATCATCGGGATCTCGGCCGGGTCGGGGTTCGGGCTGAAGGGCTCGGCCCCCGAGCGGTAGGCCAGGTGTGGCGTGGAGGGGCTGTGCCCGAGGGGGGCCGCGACCCAGCCGCCGGAGAGGCCCCCCTCGTCACTGCCCAGGCTGGTGGTGCAGGCCGAGGCCAGCGGGGGGGGCGGCATGCCCTCCTGGCCCTGGAGGGTGCCCTGCTCCGGGAACGGGCAGGGGCCCCTCCCCAGGGTGGCGTACGGGCCGAGCACGAAGCCGTCCTGCGCCGGGTTCGGCCCGGGCTCCTGCATCTCGCCGTTGAGCCGCCTGAGGGGGTTGTCCCCTCCGGGGATGGTGCTCTGGAGGCTGACCAGGGCCTGGTCGGGACCCTTCAGGTCCTGCACCATCTCCGGGTTGCGGGCCAGGTCCATGATCTCCCGCATCTTGTCCAGGATGACGCGCATGATGTCGGCGTTGTTGAGGATGTGGCCGATGGACGGGACCTGCTGGGCCAGCTGCTGGATCTCCGGGTTGGCCAGGATCACCTGCCGCACCTTCTGGACGACCATCTCCGAGGTGGGCACCGGCGGCCACTCGGGGCCAGAGAGGCTTGCGTCTGGCGGGCCCCACGGGCCCTGCGTGCCGAGGCTGAAGGGGGCCGGGCCCAGGGCGGTGTGGGAGGGCACCGGGGCGCACGCGGGGAGCCGCGGCACGTAAGGCGGCAGCGGCGGCGGAGGCTCTTCCTGCTCCCCCGGCTGGGGCCGGATCACCAGGTGGACGGTCATCCCGTCGTCGATCCCGCACTGCCGGAGGGTGGCCTGGTCCTTCAGGATCCTCCCGAAGAAGACGAGCACCAGCTGGCCGGCCTCGCAGCTGAAGCGCTTGGCGATCTCTTCCTTGAACTGCTGGATGGTGTACGTCTCGGGAAGCACAAACTGGCCGTTCGCTTTGGGGGACTTGGCCGTGACGCAGATGAAGCTGGGGCTGCTGGCGATGACCGGGCAGGCGACCGAGCCCTCTGGACCGGGGCCCAGAATCTCCATGATGCCGGGAGGCAGAAGGGAGCCGGGAAGGAGCCGCCGGAAGGGTGCTGGTTTCAAAAGGCCGGGATCCGGCTGGTTTCGCCGCCCCGCGGGCACTGTCTCAGAGGCGAAAGGGATGCTGAGGTGTGCATCACAGCCCTTCCCCCCCACCAGGCTCTGCCCTCCCCCCTTCTTTCCGTCCCTCCTTCCTTTCTCCCGTGCCAGGCAGCTGCTCAGCACCAGCAGCAGGTGGGTCACTGTGACGTCACGGGTGACATCACTGCCCACACTAGAGCTCCTGGTAGGGGGGCAAGAGAGAGCCAGTCTGGCGTCGTGGTGAAGGGCGCGGACTCTGATCCGGGAGAACCGGGTGTGATTCCCCCACTCCTCCACTTGCAGCTGCCGGTGTGACCTTGGGTCAGTCACAAGTTCTCTCGGAGCTGTCCTCTCAAGGGCAGTTTCTGTCAAGAGCTCTCTCAGCCCTCACAGGGGGTGCGTGTCGTGGGGAAGGGAAGGGGAAGGAGTTTGTAAGCCGCTCTGAGACTCCTTTGGGCAGTGAAGGGCCATGGGGTATAAATCTAATCTCTTCTTCTTCTTCTTCCCATTTCCTGGGCAGGAGGAGGGACTTCCTTCCTCACTTGCCGTCTGGATGACACTCGCCTTTGGGCTCTCTTCGGCTGAGGGGCCAGGCGGCAGGTGGATTTGGAACCGACGTGCAGCCCAGGCAGTCTGCAGTCCAGCCAGACTCTGGCACTACATGGCCCCGTGGCTTGAGACCTTGGGGTCTGAAGGACCATCTTCTCCCTTTCGTTCCTGCCCAGGAGTTGAGATCACGGGGAGAGGCCCTTCTGACCAGTGTTCCCTCTAAGCTGAGTGAGTGTGAGCCAGTTCACGGTTTTTTTAGCCTCCGGCGCACACATTTTTGTCTCAGCTCAGGAAGGATGGGGCTCCAGAAGAGCAAACTGATTCATGCAGCAGCCAAATCGCCTGCTCACAACTTTAATGCCTGTGGCTCACGAAGTCGAATCTTTGCTCCCAAGAATCCACAGCTTAGAGGGAGCCTTGACCCTGAGGGTCACATCCATCAAAGACGCTCGTCTGGTGGGCACACGAGAGCAGGGCCTTTTCAGTGCCAGCCCCACAGTTATGGGGAAAGCTCCCCAGGGAGCTGGGCCTGGGCCCCTGACCTTAGGAGGCAGCTGAAGACAGTTGTGTATAGAAGTGCATTTGATGAAAGCAAGTCCTAAATTGTGGTTTTTAAAATGGCGATTTGAAAAATCTTGGTTTTGTGTATTTCATTTGTATGGCAAGCTGCCTTGAGCTTGGTAAGGGAGGGAGGCAGCTAATAAATGCTTTAAATAAATAAATAAATAAATAAATAAATAGGCAGCTACAGATGGTCGTACTAGGCACACTGTCGTTGCAGTTATCACATGATACCCTGGCCGGAGTAAGGCTTCTATCCAGGGGTCATTTCCTGCAGGAGCTCACAGGAGTGGAGCTCTGGCAGTAAGGAGCCCAGGGGGCGGGCACATGGAACAAGCCCCACCCCCTGCTCCCAGCAGCCCTTAGTCGGGCCACGAAGAGCAAGAAGCAGCCAGGTAAGT